ATGGTTCCGAAAGAAATATGAGGCCGATGCTCTTGCTGAGAAATGCAAAAAGTACCAGGACCCTCCAAGTACCCTCAAATAGGGGTATATGGTCCCACATTATAGTAGAAGCCCAAAAGTTGGAAACCCAATAGCCTCCATCCTTAAGAGTCATGTATTTTGAATCCCAGCACTATCTGTCCTTAATCCGGTTTCCACCTTTTTGGGGTTTACTATAAGGGTATTTAGGGTCTAATAGAGGGTAGATGGAGGGTCCAGGTACAGTCACACTTTTAAAGAGCCAGGTCACAGTGAAGTCCCCAACCTTGCGACACCGCGTAGAGGCCATCGATGTCGCTCTCGTTGGACACCTGGACCTTGATTTAATTAAACCGTTTTGGGGTTTAGGGGTTTAGGGTTTAGGGGTGCAGGGGGTCTAGGGCTCTAGGGTTCCGACGGTTCGAAGTATACGGTTTGAAGTGTGGGTTTCGTGACAATTGTGGCTATCACCATATGGGGGTTTCGGAAAATAGGGGACCCTAATATAGTACCCTAAATAGTAGGATCCTCATTATAAGGACCCCCAAACAAGGCACCCCTTATTTTGGGAAACTACCATCTGCAGCTTCACAGATACCTGTCGCCGGCGGGCCTGGCGATCTTTGTAGTAGGAAGACGGAAGCATGGCCACTTCGAAGAACTACGGCCTGTCTGTAAAGCACTACGCCACTTCGCCCCAAAACCCTGGCAGCACTCACCTCATTCTGGGTTTAGGGTTTAGGGTTTAGGACATGCAAGCAAGACACCACGCAAGCGATCTTCCACGGAGTTGCCACCGCCTCTGCGCACAGCGCAACAAGCCAGATTTGCGCAGGCCATCTGGGCATCCATGGCACAAGCGCATGCGGTTCAGGAGACACGGCTTTCAGGCGTGGGGCTCAAAGGATGATGGAGAGAAAGACCGGCGAAGGCGCAAGCATCCAAGAGGCAATGCCACACGAAGAAGGGCTGCCTGTGCTGCCCACAACTAAATTTTGCTTCAGCCATGCAGTGCTGCTCGAGAAAACCCCAAGCTGTGCCTATGAATTTCATGGTAGTCTCTTGTCTGAGCTGGAAAGAACCCACGTGCTGCGGCAACAACAGAACATGGCCACACTACCTCCTTAGGACCGCAACAAACATTATCTTTGTGTTTGGGGTTGAGGTGTAGAGATTTAAATTAAAGCACCCAAACGCCTGCGATGAGCTACACTGAGTGCACCACACTGGTAACTGCTATCAGCTTCAAGATCACACGAAACAGAGGAAACATCAACGGCAGCATGTCAAGCGCATGCAATGCAACAAAAATATGTTATAAGGACCGAAACATTCTTAAACAAATAGTAGCAGTCATAGTAGTAGTTGCCGTCGTACTGGGTATTGAGCAGGTAGTCGTAAGCAGTAGGCCGTAAGTAGCAGGTAGTAGGCTGAAGGTAGTAAGTGGAAGGAAGTCAGCAGTAAGCAGCAAAATCAGCAGTAGCAGCAGCCATAGTAGCAGTAGTAGCAGTGGCAGTGGCAGTAGCAGCAGCAGTAG